GGGGCCCTTCTGGGACGGAAAAACAGGAGAGCCCCAAAAACATGTGAAGAACCTTAGGGATATCAATGTTTTTGGCCTCTGGAGGCCCTCTCAGGGGGCCCTCTTGAAGGCCTAACGGGGCCGTCTCGAGACTCTCTTGGACCGTCTAGCGGCCCCCGGTTTACCTGAAAAAACAAAGAAATGGGCCATGGGAGCCGCCCGGGAGCCGCTTCACTCGAAAAACTACGAGGGAAACGGGCCATTACCACCGCCACGCCCGCGCCTCCCCCCCCCTGCACCCCTCCTAAGGAGGGCTTCGCCCCTGCTCGACGTCACTCGCTCGTACCTCGCTCTTTCCGTCACTCCGACGAACGACACCCACTATCGCCGATGAACCCAATTCGCTGTTGGAGGGGAGGCACGAGCTTCCCGTAGGCGGGTACGTATCGCCTGCGTTGTCTGGAGTGGGATCGCAGCGCCCAGTGCGTGTTCTCGGTTGGCGAGTGCTCTGGCCAATACGAGGAGGCTTATGATGTTGCAGACGAGCGTTGCTATGATCGCATCCGTTCTGGGTCTGTGACGATGTTTTGGGGCCCCTGTAGCATCTCTAGAGCCCCGAGAATGACCCCAGGAGGCCCCCGAGGCAACCTGTGTGCCCACGGTCAGTCTTGGGCTGCTGCGGGAGGTCTCGGCAGATGCGAGCACAGCCGTTGCCCGGCATGTGCGGGCAAGTGAGGGTAACTTGCGTGCGCGCGTGCGATGGGTCAGCCACCGTGCCTGCACGACACGGCGTGCTAGAATGCTGCATGTCTGTTGCCGCCAGGCTTCCGTTGTTTCCAGGGCCAACCCCGAAACAAAAGACCACCTCGAAAGCGGCACGACGCCTTAACGTCCATCCGAAGACGCTCTAACGTGCCCCCACAGGCTCCAAGATCTCCCCATCTCATGTCCCAAGAAGCACCAAGACAGCCTTCAAAGGGCCTCGAGGTAGGAAGGGGAAAGAGAGACGAGAAGAAGGAGGAGGGAGGAGAACGAGGCTGCGGACAAGGAGGTGGCGCTCAAGACCCGCGCCAATTCAGACAGAGGACTGGACTGGAGCGGGTCGTGAACTCAACCACCTCCCTGCTGCGCTGCTGCGGCGGGGTCTTCCGCAGGAAGCCGGGCAGCGGCCAAAGCATGGCGAGGGCCACCCTGGGAAGATCATGCACTGTAACGACTCTAAACTCAAAGCAGGTCGATGCGGTCGACAGGGTATGTACTGAGAGGATCTCAAAGGCTGAAGGAAACCTATAGGATTGCAGTGGGAGCCCGCAAGGTCCCTGAGAAAGTCTTGAGGATTACATGGGAATTACTTTGAAACTTGTCAGGTTCCAGAGAAAAACGGAGGGCTCCTGGAGGATATTTGGGGGTCCTCAGGAGGCGTTGAAGACCCTGTGGAAGCCCTTAGGTACATGACAAAATCTGTGCGGCATACCACTGGACCCCCCGTCGGTTGTACATGAGTTACATGAGGCCCCGGAGGTTCATACGAAAGTTGTGGGGAACGGGGGGTGGATCATGCGGATAATCATACGATCCTTGAGGAGATCCTCCGAATTGCGGAGGGATTCGCCACGGGTTCCTCGAGCTCGCCGGAGGGATCGTCGGGAAATCCTCCGATCCCTGGGCATTCTTTTGGGGGGGGGGCGCAGGATCGGAAAGTCCCAAATCGGGAGCCCCGCCCACTGGGCGGAGGGGTGCTCGCTGGCCCAATCTCGCCATGGCGGCTCTGGTGGCTCTGCTCCTCCTACTCCTCCTCCTCCTCCTCCTCATCCTCCTCCTCCTCCTCCTCCTCCTCCCTCCTCCTCCTCCTCCTCCTCCTCCTCCACCTCCTCCTCCCTCCTTCCTCCTCCTCTCCTCCTCCTCCTCCTCTCCTCCTCCTCCTCCTCCTCCCTCCTCCTCCTCCTCCTCCTCTCCTCCTCCTCCTCCTCCTCCTCCTCCTCCTCTCCTCCTCCTCCTCCTCCTCCTCCTCCTCCTCCCTCCTCCTCCTCCTCCTCCTCCTCCTCTCCTCCTCCTGCTCCTCCCCCTCCTCCTCCTCTTTCTCCTCCTCCTCCTCCACCTCCTCCTCCTCTTCCTCCTCCTGTGCGGGGGCGCAGCTCGGGGACCCTCCTTGGCCGGCCGAAGGCTGAGCAGGGGCCTGCAACGGGAGGAGAACCATGCACGCGCACCGCTTCTGGCCAGGACCCCTCTGAGTCGGGGGTGTCCAAGAGGGGGGCGTCCAAGAGAGTGTGACACCAATCATGGCCAGCGGCACGTGCACGGCCCAGGGGGGGTCCAGGGACGTAATGAAACAAGAAGAGGCGCCAGGAAAGCCGGGGAGATATCATGGCCCCCGCCATAATATCCACCCCCCCCTCGTCATCACCCCCCTCTTTGCCGCCCCCGACTGAGCACACGCCCTGCTGGCCTGGCCAGGGAAGATCTGCACCGATCCTGGGCCCGGGATGGGCCTGGCCGGGATCGGCACTTATGCACAACCAGGTGGCGACATCCAAAGCCTACCCCCGCCAACCATCGATTTCCTGGATCCATGGGAGACACGGGTAGGGTTCAGACTTCGCCGCGTATTCGACAAATTCCAAGCCCGACCCCCGCCGCCCGAGCTGCCCGAATCGTGAGTCTGCGAGGGGTAGGGTTCGCATTTCGCCGCCGAGCCCTGCTCTTCGCCCGAGTCTGCCCGATCCGTGCCGCGCACGAAACGCAGGGAGGCGGGGCCCGCCTCCCTGCGTCGCCTAGGGGCGGGCGAGCTCGGCCTCGCACGCCCCATCGTTCGTCCGGCGCTCCGCAGATCGCTCCGGCCAGCGGTCGTTCGCGCCTGACGTCCGTCGGGTGCGGCGCTCTCGCGGAGGAAGGAGGCGGGGAGGGGGGGGAAGAGGAGCAGGAGGAGCAGGAGCAGGAGGAGACGACGACGACGACGACGACGACGACGACGACGACGACGACGACGACGACGACGACGACGACGACGACGTGGACCTTATATTATAGGAGAAGGAGGAGGGAGGACAACACAGAGGAGTGAGGAGGAACGAGGGAAGGGGCGGGAGCGAGGAGAGCCAGGAGCGAGGAGGAGAGACGCAGCGGCAGCTAGCGCAGCAGCGGGAGCGCAGCGGGCGGAAGCCTGAGCTCCGCAGCAGCCAGCAGCGACGACCGAGGAGCGCGAGGAGCGTGGAGGGCGAGGCGGCGACGGGCCCTCCTCCTCCCTCCTCCTCCTCCTCCTCCTCCTCCTCCTCCTCCTCCTCCTCCTCCTCCTCCTTCCTCCTCCTCCATCCTCCTCCCGCCTCCTCCTCCTCCTCCTCTCCTCCTCTCCTCTTCCTCCTCCTCCTCCTCCGCCTCCTCCTCCTCCTCCTCCTCCTCCTCCTCCTCCTCGCTCCCCCCCTCCCCTCCGCCCTCCCCCTCCCCCTCCCGCCTCCTCCGCCTCCGCCTCCGCCTCCGCCTCCGCCTCCGCCTCCGCCTCCGCCTTACCGCCTCCGCCTCCGCCTCCGCCTCCGCCTCCCCGCCGTCCGCCTCCTCCTCCTCTCCTCCTCCTCCTCCTCCTCCTCCTCCTCCTCGCCTCCTCCCCTCCTCCGCCGCTCCTCCGCCTCCTCCGCCTCCCTCCGCCTCCTCGCCTCCTCCGCTCCTCCTCCTCCTCCCCTCCTCCTCCTCCTCCTCCTCCGTCCTCCTCCTCCTCCTCCTCCTCCTCTCCTCCTCCTCCTCCTCCTCCTCCTCCTCCTCCTCCTCCTCCTCCTCCTCCTCCTCCTCCTCCTCCTCCTCCTAGTTGGCATTCTGGCTCACGCGCCGCCGCCGCTGGGTCGCCCCGCCGACCCGCCGCCTCGCCGATGCCGCCGACGACCGACGCCCGCTCCGCGAAGGCGACGCTGGACGCTGCGCGCGGCGCAGTGCTGGCGACGCACGCGGCGGCTGGGCTTGCGAGCGGCCAGCGGGAGGCGGTACGCCTCATCCGCGCCGCCGAAGGCCTGCTGCGCACGGCGGTGGCTGTGCTCGCCACGCCCTCCTCCCCCGCGCTCGTCGCGGCGCCCCTGGCGGATCCAGCGGCTTCCTCGCGCAGGAGGCGGCGGCCCCGCGGCCGCGGCGGCTCGAAGGGCGGGGACGAGAACGGCAAGCACTACATCGTCGCTGACGGCATGGACATCGACAAGGGGTCGGCGGGCGAGGTGGCCACGGGGGCTGGCGCCCCGCCTCAGCCGATGCTGGAGGACGACGCTTGGGCCGACGAGCTGCCCGTGGTGATGCAGGCTCGTGGCCCGCCTGCCAGCACAGACCAGCGCGAGGGCAAGGGCAAGAACGCGGGCAAGGGCGGCGAGAGCGGCGGCAAGGGCAAGCTTGGCCACCTCGAGGTGTGGCAGCTGAGGAACCTCGTCGTCCGCCTGCGGGAGCGCGCTGGGCTGCCTCCCGCTCCCGAGACGGCCCCCTTCGACCACGGCGTGCTGGTCGCAATGGCCGTCGAGCTCGAGGAGTTGGCGGCCTCGTCCGACGGCACGCGTGGCGGGGGCTCCGGAGCGGCTGGTGGCCGTCGAGCGCGTGGTGGTCCACGTGGTGATGGTCCAAGGCCCGGGGCGGCCGGCCGCGGGAGGAGCAGCGGGGGGGGGTGGTAGGCGGCCTCGCCGCTTCGCGTGCAGGGCCCTCGCCCCTTCCCCTCCCGCGGACATGGACGGCATTGACAAGTCCGTCCACGTGTGAGCTCGACTGCATCGAGTTCGCGGTCGGGGGGTCTGGCTCCTCAGGTGGAGACCAGGCCCCCCGCGGCGGGAGGCGGGGAACACGCGCCCTCCTGAGGCTCGGTCATCATCCTCCTCCTCCTCCTCCTCCTCCTCCTCCTCCTCCTCCTCCTCCCTCCCTCCCTCCTCCTCGCTCCTCCTCGCTCCTCGTCCTCCTCCTCGTTCTCGCTCATCCTGGCTCCTCCTCGCTCCTCCTCGCTCTTCCTCCTTCTCCTCCTCCCCCTCCTCTTCCTCCCCTCCTCCTCCTCGGTTCCGCAGTCAGGCCTGGCTTCCGTTCTGCTGGCTACCGCGTCCCAGGTCCACGTAGACCTCCGCCGCGCCGCCTCCGCGCGCGGGCCCCGCGCGCCGCCCCGGCGGCTCCGGCCGCGGGCGCGGCCCGGGGCCCGGCGCAGACCGCCGGCGCGCCGCCGGGCCGCCTCGGCGCCGGCAGCCCGGCGACGCCAGGCGCGGCTGTGGGCGGAGGCCCCGAGGCCGAGGCCGAGGCCGAGGGCCCGTCAGGGCGGCGGAGAGAAGGAGGAGGCCCTCTCGGGAGGCGGCGGGGCTTCGCGGAAGCCTGCCGGCCTTCCGAGAGGTCTTCGCTGCCTGGTGGGTCAGTGAGCAGGCGGCCTGGCAGACGAGGGCGCTCCCTGCCTCGCGAGAGAGGGACCCAGACATCCTCGCGTCTATTCAAAAAAGTCACGACGGGGGGCCACATCGCGCCAACGGGCCGTCAAAGAAGAGCGGCTCAGGCTGGAAGGCTGGCCTAAGGCATGGGTAGGGACTTCTGGGGGCCCCGGATTGAAGAAGTCAGAAGATGGGATGGCTGGGCCCACGCCCTTCTGGGCGCTGTGATTTGTCGCGACCTCGGACCCCCCAAAAAAGGTGAAGAGTCAGCCCCTCCCAACCTAGCCACGCCCCAGCCCACCAGACCCCAGCACGGTCGCGGATGTGCAGATCAGGAGAGAAAAGGGGGGATCACCATTGCAGGGTAGAGGACGGCAGGGCAGGGGAGAGGTAGAGGCGGAGGAGGAGCACGCCGGCGGGGCACGCGGCAGGAGAGGATGAGCACGGAGGTCGAGAGACGGCGGGCGGGTTGGCAGAATGGCGCGTGGGGGGCTCGAAGAGGTTGACAAGGCGGCGGGGGCAGAGGCAGAGCGACGCAGGGGGCGGATCAGCAAGCACGCCACAACTTGGAAGCAGGACGGGCACGGAAGACTCGCCCCCAGCCGGCGCACTCGCCTCCGCTGGCCCCGGCGACGCCCGGGGGGCCCACTGGCGCAGACGGGGCAAGGGGGGCTCCTGGTGCTGACGGCGCAGAGCGGCGGAGCCTCCCCTCCCAGGAAGCGTCAGGATTCGTGCTGGCCTCCGAATTGGCTTTTTGGCTATTCCTCGACATTCCCGGGCGGCGCCGGCGGGAAACGTGACGTTGCCGGCCCCCCGCACCCATCTTCCCCCCACACGGTCACGCCTGGTATCGCCCCAGGATTTGAAACAAATGCTCTCTTGTCGTCTGCAGCCACAAACAAGCTTCTTCGGACACGAACTAATGGGGGGCGAGAAGAAAGGTCCCCTTTTCAGGCCCCAAAGGCCCTCTCTGGGGCCCTAGAAGGCCCCTTTTAAGGGCCCTGACGGCAGCCCTCGCCGCCTCCCCATCTATCGCCCTCCCAGGAGTTCGCGCCCAACTTGTCTGCGAATCAAGGAGGAGGCCAGGGCCTCGGGCCCGTCGACGCAAGAAGGGCCCGGCCTCCCGGGTGGGATCACCAGCTGGCTCGCACGGGGGGGGGCCGCGGGGCTGCGACGCTCCGGAGCGGGGAGAGCGAAAGGGAGGACAGGAACGGGGGAGAGCCTGCGCCACCCTGATGGTCGGCGGCGAGCGAGGGGGGGGGGTGAGAAGGAGAAGGCCTTCTCAAAGGCGGCGGGACTCATCAGAAGCCCTCGCGCGTTCTGATAGGTTCCCTGCCCGCTGTTGCTGGAGAATTTCCAAACCTGACTACCAGACGAGCCAAAACACCGAAGAAAGAGAAACCTTCGGAGTGCCGCGCGGATCTATGGGGTGGGTGCTGGACCCCCCCTCCCTGGCGCGGGGGGCCCAGCGCCGATCCAAGAAGTGTGCGCGGAGCTCCGAAAGTTTACCCATCGGTCGGAAGGAGTAAGCAGAAGCAGGAAGCAGGAGAGCGTTGAACATAGAGTGGGCTCCGTCCATCCCCAAGGAAGACAGAAAAGGTGAAGCCACTCGATCATTGAAGTAGGAAGGCGCTTAAAAAATGATCGGAATCTGGGAATATGGGAATCCGAGAATCCAAATCGACGACCGAAGGGTGTGCTTCTGCCGTTTTCCCTCCTTCGATCGCCCTCGCCCCTCAAGCCTCTGCGCGCCGCCAGAAGACTCGGACTCCCCGCCCTCGCTCCCCCCCACCGCCCTTCCGCTCGGCGGCGGCTTGGGGCAGGTGGGGCGGCGGGCGTATGCTCGCGCCGCAGGGCGTAGTTGCAGAGCACCTTGCCCGCTGAGGAGGGAGGCTCCTTCCTTCTCTCTCTCCACCCCTCCCCCCCCCGCCCTCCCTCCTCCCCGTCCCAACCCCGCCGCGGATCCAGCCCACCCGCGCGCACGCGCTTCCGCTTGCCTGCTTGCGCGGGGGCGGGGGGGGAAGGGAACGAGGAGAGCGAGAATGACCCAGACATTCACGCCTCACCGCGCCTCGCGAGGCGACTGGTGTGCATCAACGTTTGGTCTCCGGAGGCCGGCGTCGGGTCTCGGGATCGAAAAAGAACGGATCAGGGTGGAAAGCTTGCCCCAGCGAGGGGGTCGAGAGGTACCGAGCGCAGGAGACCTGAGGAGGAGGAGGGGGAAGAAGAGGAGGGAGGCGAAGACGACGAGTGAGAGTGAGAGGATGTGCGAGAGGAAGACGATGACGGAGCGAGTGAACCGCAGGGTGAGAGGACGAGGAGGATGACAGACGAAGACGAGGAAGACCAGCACGGGAAGGAGCAGGGGGGGCTCGAGCGAGCGCGCCTGGACTCTACTTCAAGCCACCAGGACATCCAGCGCAGCTTCCTGGCCTTCGACCTGATGCGCGACATCCCCGGGAAGCCAAAATCCAGAAATCGCGGAGGGGGGGAATGATGCTTCTGGCCTGCATGCTGGGCCCAACAACGCCTCTGTGCACCTCAATGCCTGTGTAAACAGCACTGCCTGCGAACACCACAGCTGCTGCAGCAGCAAAATCCATGTCCACCACAGCGCCTGTGCACACCGCAGCGCCTGCGTTCCACTACAAGGCATGTATGCACAGCGATGCCCCTGTACATCACAATGCTCGTGTGCACCAACATGCCCAGCTGGTGAAGGGTTGGTTCCGCCTGGCCTGCGAAAAGACCAAGGCCAGAGAGGGGGAGGGGTGCCGCGCGTCATGTCCCCCACGTCCAAGTATCGGGAGGGCCCGCCCTAGGAAGGCCAAGTGACGAAAACTGTCCGTCGCTGTTTTTGCTCGCCACGCAAGGCTCCCCCTCCCTCCCTCCGCCCCCCCCGCTCCCCCCTCCATCCTGGACCTACGACGTGTTGACTCGTTCCTCACGACGATGGCCACCTGACCTCTGGGCCCGGGAACTGACTTTTTGCCCTGGGCCGCGCTTGCGCAGGCGGCTCCCGGGGGGCCAAAACGGGCCTGCAATTGCCGAAACGGTGACAAAAAGCTGACGCCTCGGATCCGAAGGCAATCTGGGCTGGGGCCACCCCCCTGGCCCCTGATCCACCCCTCTGCATGAACTGACTTTTTGCCCTGGGCCGCGCTTGCGCAGGCGGCTCCCGGGGGGCCAAAACGGGCCTGCAATTGCCGAAACGGTGACAAAAAGCTGACACCTCGGATCAGAAGGCAGTCTGGGGCCACCCCCCTGGCCCCTGATCCACCCCTCTGCATGAGATGAGAGAGGTCCTGTCCCAGATCTCAGGTCGTGAACAAATCACGACGGGAGGCGTTTCTTTGCCTTCGGCCTCTAGGGACCCCTCACGGGTTCCCGGGGCCATCCAGGGACGTCACGGCCGGTCCCCGGAAAGGGGTCCAGGTCTGTGCCCAGACACCCGACGTCGTGGTTTTGTCACGGCGTCGACCCCCAGATGTCTCGACCAATTCCTGGGGACGGGCTTCCCATCCTGAGTCGTTCTTTGACGATCCCGGGGCCTAGCGAGGGCTCCCAGAGGCCGCAGACAACAAAGACCTTGCGTAGTGAGTTTCTTACGACGCCTATATATACACACACATGTTGTATATAACCAACACAGCAAGAACAATACGAATAATAATAAGAATAATAATAATAATAATAGAAATAGTTACCGGATTGTCATACTAATACAAAGAAAAATACTACCAAGAAGAAGAACACAATAGAGTGAGAAGAATAACAATTCGCCGGCCCAACGGGCCAGAGGCGTGCTAAGATCTCCGGTAACTGCTAAATAATACTTCTACTTCGCGCGCGCGGGGCGGCCCCTGGGGGTCCCCGGACGAAAAGTACCCCGGGCGATCCCTGGCAGACTCGGGTCAGAGATGGTTTTCCTCCTGGGCGCCGCCCCCGTGGCCCTCCAGAGAGCCCCAAGAAGGGCCACGAGGCCGCCAAGAGCCCTCCAAGATGGTTCAAGAGTGCTCCGAGATGCCACACGATCGTTCCAAGACGCCCAAGATGGCCCCCAGACGCCCCAAGAGGCTTCCAAGAGCACTCCCCAGAGGGCCTCACGAGGCAAAATTCATGACTTGTCCTTCGGTTTTGGGCAGATTTTGGCGTGTCCATCTTTTCGACTTCCCGACGCCCCAAGACGGCCCAAGAGGCCCCCAAGATCGCCCCAAGAGGGCCCAAGAAGCTCCCAAGAAGGCCCCAAGATGGCCCAAGAGGGCTCCAAGACGGCCCCAGAGGCATCCAAGACGGTTCAAGAGGGGCCCAAGAGGGCCCCAAGCGATGCCCCAAATGGGGAACACAAAACAAAACTTCGAGCCCTCGGCCTTAAGAAGCCCCCAGGATGCCTCAAGAGGCCCCTGAGAGGCCCCCAAGAGGCCCTCAGGAGGCCCCCAAGCGACGGTGAAGAGGCCCCCCAGCGACCCCAAGAGGCTCAGTCATGCGAAATGGGCTGGCGGAATGAGCGAAGCGATTCAATACTAATAAGACGATCAACAAATAACAGCACTGCTAATATCACTGCTCATCAGAATAAGGATTGTTATATTGATAATATGATAATGAACTTGAATACGACTGATAATAACAAGAATGTCAAACAATGTAATAATACGAGTGATACGTACAAACATCTCCATGATGAATAGTAACAATGAGAATGATAATAACAAATGATTATCCCGGCAAACCAACCTAACAGCGATGTGTAGAAGCATATCTGAAAGCATTCCCCTTAAGACTCAGATGAAAATCCAGTTGTCGAATTCTGCTGTTCTCGCAGTCGTAGTCGCATTCGCGATGACAGTCGCAGCGGCAACGGCAGTCGCAGTCACAGCCTCAGCCTCAGCCTGCCTCCTCCTCCTCCTCCTCCTCTTTCTCCTGCTCCTCCTCCTCCTCCTCCTCCTCCTCCTCCTCCTCTTCCTCCTGCTCGTCCTGGTTCTCGTCCTCCTCGTCTTGCTCGTCCTCCTCCTCCTGGTGCTCTCTCCTCCTCCTCCTCCTCCTCCTCCTCTTCCTCCTCCTCCTCCTCCTCCTCCTCCTCCTCCTCCTCCTCCTGGTGGTCCTCGTTCTCCTCCTCCTGGTGCTCTCCCCCCCCCTCCTCCTCCTCGTCCTCCTCCTCCTCTTCCTCCTCCTCCTCCTCCTCCTCCTCCTGGTAGTCCTCCCCCTCCCCTCCTCCTCCTCCTCCTCCTCTTCCTGGTTCTTCCTGGTCGCCCTCGTTCTCGTCCTCCTCGTCTTGCTCGTCCTCCTCCTCGTGGTGTTCTCTCCTCCTCCTCCTCCTCCTCCTCCTCCTCCTCCTCCTCCTCCTCCTCCTCCTGGTGGTCCTCGTTCTCCTCCTCCTGGTACTCTCCCCCCCCCTCCTCCTCCTCCTCGTCCTCGTCCTCCTCCTCCTCCTCCTCCTCCTCCTCCTCCTCCTCCTCCTGGTGCTCCTCCCCCTCCCCTCCTCCTCCTCCTCCTCCTCTTCCTGGTCGTCCTCCTCCTCCTGGTCGTCCTCCTCCTCCTGCTCGTCCTCCTCCTCCTCCTGCTCGTCCTTCTTCTCCTGCTTCTCCTGCTCCTCGTCCTCCTCCTGCTCGTCCTTCTTCTCCTGCTTCTCCTGCTCCTCGTCCTGCTCCTGCTCGTCCTCGTCCTCCTGGTCTTGCTCGTCCTCCCCCTCGTCGTGCTCTTGCCCCTGCTGAAAATGTAGCCCAGGAATGGGAGTTTTGGGAAGTCGAAGAGCACGAAGTTACCTACAGTTGGCTACGGGCATTCAAAATGTGGCCCGGGAATGGAGTTCTGGGAACTCGAAGAGCACGAAGTGGCCTACAGTTGGCTCCGGGCATTCAAAATGTGGCCCGGGAATGGAGTTCTGGGAACTCGAAGAGCACGAAGTGGCCTACAGTTGGCTCCGGGCATCCAAAATGTGGCCCAGGAATGGAGTTCTGGGAACTCGAAGAGCACGAAGTGTGTGACTGTTGCATCCGGCCCTCCAGAATGTGGCCCGGGAATGGAGTTCTGGGAACTCGAAGAGCACGATGTGTGTGACTGTTGCATACGGCCCTCCAGAATGTGGCCGGGGAATGGCGTTCTGGGATGTCGAAGAGCACGAAGTGTGTGACTGTTGCATCCGGTTATTCTAAATGTGGCCCGGGAATGGCGTTCTGGATCGGATCGAGAGCACGTCCGCCCGAACCTTGCAATCCGGATTGAAATGTCCGCGGGCTTTGGTCCCTGGCGGAAGTCGAAGAGCACGAATGTGTGACTGTTGGCGAAAACGCGCGCCGGCACCTTCCGCCCTGCACTCCCAACACCTGCCCATGAGCTGACGCAGCACCCCCCCTGGTGGAGTGATCTGTTTGCTCTCTTTTGAATCCCACACTCTTAAGAAACCTATCAGTCCTTCGCTGTTAGGTTAAAATACGAATACCAATGATAGAACAGAACTAGTAATATCATAATATGGTAACAATAAAATTATCCCGGCAAAGCAACCTAACAGCGATGTGTAGGAGCATATTTGGAAGCATTCCCCTTACGATTCAGATGAGAATCCAGTTGTAGAATTCTGCTGTTCTCGCAGTCGTAGTCGCATTCGCGATGACAGTCGCAGTGGCAACGGCAGTCACAGTCACAGCCTCAGCCTGCCTCAGCCTCAGCCTCAGCCTGCCTCAGCCTCAGCCTGCCTCAGCCTCAGCCTCAGCCTGCTTCAGCCTCAGCCTCAGTCTGCCTTCAGCCTCAGCCTCTGTGCCTCAGCCTGCCTCAGCATCAGCCTGCATCCGCCTCAGCCTCAGCCTCAGCCTCAGCCTGCCTCAGCATCAGCCTGCTTCAGCCTCAGCCTCAGCCTTCCTCAGCCTCAGCCTCAGTCTGCTTCAGCCTCAGCCTCAGTCTGCCTTCAGCCTCGGCCTCAGCCTCAGCCTGCCTCAGCCTCAGCCTGCCTCAGCCTCAGCATCAGCCTGCCTCAGCATTCAAAATGTGGCCCGGGAATGGAGTTCTGGGAACTCGAAGAACACGACGTGGCCTACAGTTGGCTCCGGGCATTCAAAATGTGGCCCGGGAATGGTGTTCTGGGAAGTCCAAGAGCACGAAGTGGCCTACAGATGGCTCCGGGCATCCAAAATGTGGCCCTGGAATGGAGTTCTGGGAAGTCGAAGAGCACGAAGTGGCCTACAGTTGGCTCCGGGCATCCAAAATGTGGCCCGGGAATGGAGTTCTGGGAAGTCGAAGAGCACGAAGTGGCCTACAGTTGGCTCCGGGCATTCAAAATGTGGCCCGGGAATGGAGTTCTGGGAGCGCCAAGAGCGATTTTGCGAGGATGTCTCAAGCGATTTCGGCTTCGGCGGCAGCCGCCCCGGGTCCCGCCCGGACCCCCCTGTGGAGTCATCTGCTGCTCTCTTTTGACACCACTAGAAACCTATCAGTCTTCGCTGCTAGGAAAAATATAACATAACTAGTGATATCATAATATGGTAACAATAAAAAGATAAGCATCAGCATGATCAGCATCATCATCAGCATCATCAGTAGCATCATCATCATCATCATCATCATCATCATCATCATCATCATCACCATCATCATCAGCCTCATCATCATTGTTATTAATACCCGAATCACAATCAGAATGATAACAATGATAGTAAGTAGAAAATAAGAAGATTGAAAATAGTTATCATCCACAGAGCCTCCCACATGCCCCCAAGAGTTCTCCAAGAGGCCCCAGAGAATCATCCCACGAGACCCTCATATTCATCCAGGAGGCTCCTGACCCACGATGTAACTTCCATGATCGTCTCAAGCAGTTACTCCTTGTGGGGGTCGGCGGAATGGCGTAAGCCACTTGATTACTGATGACGGTGATGATGATGATGATGATGATGATGATGATGATGATGATGGTGATGGTGATGGTGATGGTGATGGTGATGGTGATGGTGATGGTGATGCTAAGAACAAAGCACAAGACAAAAACAACCACTGTTTGGAAGGAACCTTAAAAGAGCCACCAAAAAACGAACAACGAAAACGACGTCGAGTGTTGGGAGAGGCCGGGAGGCCGCCCGGGGCGCTGAACTGCGAGCCCCTCCCGCGGGCCTGGCACAGCGAGCTCTTCCCGGCGAAGGCGCTGCCGCACACGAGCACCTGGCCGCAGCTCAGTTGCGGGGGGGGGGGGGGGGCTCGCCCGAGCTGGGCGGCTGCGGAGAAGACAGCTTGTACTGTATACACCAAGTCGTTTGGTCGGCCGAGAGCTCGGTGTACAGAGGCCCCAGCTTCGCAACCTGCGGGACGTTTGAGCGTCTATACACAAAATTCCTTCGCCGAGTTCGCTGGCTCCTTGGCCGACCAAACGTCCTCGTATATACACCGAGCCCCTCCCATGTAAGCAGAGGCACTTCACGCTGCCTCGGCAGTCTGCGCGGCGCAGGCGTGCGTCCGATTGGCGAGAGCTGCACACCACGCCCTGGGACCGCTGCGAGAACTGAGACCCTAACCTCTGGTTTGTTTTCAGACGTGTTCGTGTGTGTTTCTGGAAGGCTTCACACCTCAGGGTGGTTCTTGCATAGGAGCCTCGCCGAGAACATTTCAGCTGTACCTGGATCGTCCCAAACGGCCGCCAGAGGGCTGAGTTATGACCCTGAAAAAACCAAGCCTCCTCGCGTCGTGACAAAACCAGGTTCCATGCAAGGGCCGTATCACGACATCGACGCCTGGGAATGAGAGGGCAGGAGCTAGGTCGCTCGATCCTCGCGGTTCGAGGCCCAGACTTCTGGCGGACGGACCCTTCCAGTCCAAGCGTTTGCTCCTCCATTTCGGCCTCCGGGGGCCGCCCTCGGGCCCCCGAGACCATCCAGAGCAGATCCGGGGCGAGAAGCTGCCCCGGGGAAACGGGTCGAGACCTCTGGGGCCCGCGGCTTGATAGGACCCACCCGTCGGAAGACTGGGGAATCGGAGATGGAGTGCCTTCGATGTTGCTGGAGCCGCTTGGAGCTGTCGGAGGCTTCTGGGGCGGAAGCGAGCAGGAGGGAGGCTGCGCACCACCACCACCACGACCGACCGGAGGTTGGCCTGAGGGAGAGAGAGAACTGGGGTCCTGCCCAGCTCCTCACGCGTGTTGGCCCCGAACTGACTGCCCCATGTGATCAAAGGATCGTCTGAGCGTCTGAGCCGTGTTTTGCTGTTCGGAGCAGGGTGGCATTGACACTTGCTTCCGCTGAACGCAGTGATTACAATACAACAATACTACGTGGAGGGTGGAGACAGCGGGGTCAGATGCTCTAACACATGCGGCGACTCGAAAAATGGGGGCGGTCGGTGTGTCAGCATGTTTGGCCTGTGGGCTGGTCTCAAGTCTTGGGACACAAAATTGCTCGGAATGAAAAATTCGCCCTGGGGAAGGGGTCGAGAAGTACCAGATTCTGCGCACCAAAAAATCGTAGCACCAGATGACTGCGATGGTGGTGGGGAAAAACCTGATCCGATCATCCCCGCCCACCCGCCCACCATGTCATAAAGTGCTACCCGTTGTTACCCCCGATTGTCCGACTGTTGAGGATATTATCAACTTGCTCGCTGAATTCCCTCAACAGGCCCTGCAAGTTTATGACCTCATGGAGCATCTGGATGATGAGGTTGATGAGCTTTGGCGGGCGCGCGCAGGAATTCGGACTGTATGTTCATTATGTGTGGAATCCCACCAGCCCTTTGGGCGTGAGTGGTTTAGAGAGCCCGCTCTGTTCTCAACCCCCTTCTTCCCTTTCGGGGAGGGGTTTACCCCTCCCCCTACCCCCTCCCCCTGGGCCTGGAGAGGGCGTCCCGCGGGTCGTTGGAGGGGTCTTTTTCGACTCCTGGGAGGGCTAAAATTCGATACCCCTCACGAGGATTCTGGCCCCGACGGGGGGGGGGAGAAAAGTGCTCGCCCCATCTGTGATCGATCGCCCGAAAGATGGCCCCAAGATACCTCCCAGACCCCTCCCAAAGAGCCCCAAGAGGCCCCAAGAGGCCTCCAAGAGGCCACCAAGATGCCCCCAAGATGCCCCCAAGAGGCCCCAAGAGGCTCCCCCGAGGCACCCAAGACGCTCCTGGAAGCCCCTGGGGCCGCCAAGAGGCCCCCAAGACGCCCCAAACGGCCTCCAAGAGGCTCCCAAGATGCCCGAAGAGGCTCCCCCAAGGCACCCAAGACGCTCCTAGAAGCCCCTGGGGCCGCCAAGACGCCCCCAAGACGCCCCAAAAG